TCTACTTAAGGTACAGGTAAAGGTTCCTCTTGACATTTAGTCTAGTTGTGTCCAACTCTAGTGGGCGGTGCTCATCCCCGTCTCCAAGCCATAGAGCCAGCGTTTGTCCGAAGACCATTTCCATGGTCATGTGGCCAGTGTGACTAGACACAGAACGCCATGACCTTCCCACTGAGGTGGTACCTATTTATCTACTCACCTTTTTACATGCTTTCGAACGGCTAGGTTGGCAGGAGCTGGGACAAGTGATGGGAGCTCACTCCGTCACATGGATTCAGTCTTACGACTGCTGGTCTTCTGACCCTGCAGCACAGAGGCTTCTGCGGTTTAACCCACAGCGCCACCACGTCCCTCGAATTGACTTAACAGCATGCTATTAGTATTATTGCTACTACTAAACCCACAGCGCCACCACATCCCTCAAATCGACTTAACACCATGCTATTAGTATTATTGCTACTAGTGTTTTCATTCTCCCTGTTTCATCTGGAGTGGAGGTGAGCAAAATGCACACCTGGAGGATTGCACTAGTGTGAATGCTTGCCAGACCTTAGAAACAGTACTTTCTGGACAACAGATTTCTCTTACCCACTCTATATAGACAGGGTAGTCTGGCTGCTGTAGTCCAAAAAAGTAACTTTTCTATGGTACTTACCAGAGCACAGAGTGCTGTCATCTGAAGATGCCGGCCACAGAGACTGGCAAATCATTAGGAAGAACAACCTTCAGAACACAGCGAAAGAGCCCGAAAAACCCACAACAACCATTAAATTTTCTTTGCTTGGTGCACAAATGTCAGCAGTCAGGGCTGTAGGACGCTCTGTATACCATTCTAGGCGGCTGAGGTTCATGTGTAGCTAAGCTGAAAAGTTACTTATCTGTCTCCTGTTCACGCATTATGCACAGAACCTGAACTCAAGACACAGTATGCCTGAAGTTCTTGGCAAATGCAATCATCTCTTGAATTAGCTATCTGGGTGCTTGTAATCACAGATTCTTATAAGTACCCTTGACTATACTTGCTATATAGTTCCAAACAATGCAACTGGTAGAACAGAATCCCCCAATCATCTCTTGTTTTCATTGGTTGATTGATTGGTATTGTAGCCATTCATTGGATCAAAAATATTGACTGTCACACAGAAGAACATAGAGACAGAGGGCAGATAACATGACGTTATTTTAAAAAAGTTTATCAACGCTGATTGAAACTACAGTTTCCCAGAAAGTTTTGAAACAACCTTTAATATTGGTCATGAAAATGTTTGATTGTTCCTTCAAAATGCTTTCTCTTGTTTTCTGTTTTGAGTTTCTTCAATGGCTTTCATTACCGATTCTATCAGGAAGACAAATCTTAATAGCTGCGCCGTGTTCTGATGATATCCGTTCGTCGCTGTGTTTCTGCTGTGCGATCCATGACTGGCTGGGATTATCCTTGTGATTAACTGAGGAAACATTACCATCGCTCTTAAATGGCTTTACCATCACATATCTTGGTCTGATTTGATATGCAGAAGGATGATGCCATCCCATTCACCCAATGTTATCTGAATCGCTGGGATCATTGTGGCAGGAAGCCTGAATCACGATGGTTGATCCATCAGGGGCAAGATTAAGGGGGGGGGGAGAGGGGTGTAATAGCAGCAACATAGTGGCTGGAAGTGGGAAAAATGGACATTTCCCCCCGCCCCATGCAATTTTTCAAAATGCCCAACACAAATGTTGTAAAACCTACAACATTTTTGAGTCACACACCTCCGTTCAGAAGTAGGAAACAATTACTTATTTGGCTTGTGTGTCTGAGAATTCCATGGTCCAGCATAGTTGGTGGCCAAGCTCTGGAGGAGTTCTGCATACAAAATGACTAGAAAACTTCCACAGAGTTTAATGTACAGTACTTATTTAAGTACATTTAAGAGGATGTCCAGAGGTTCTTGTTCTTACAGGACAGCATTAGAAGCAATGGCCTTAATTTACAGGACAGAACATGGCTGAAGATTAGGAGACATTTTTTAAAAAGTTTATCAAGGTTGACAATAAGCGCAGTGGTACAGTGGTTAAACTGCAGTACTGCAGTCAAGGCTCTGCTCACAACATGAGATTGATTCCAATGGGTTCAGGTACTGTAGCTGGCTCAAGGTTGACTCAGTCTTCCATCTTTCCAAGGTCAGTAAAATGAATACCCACCTCACTGGGGGGGGGGGTAAGTTGTTTTTGCATAATTATGTTTTAAGCCACTCAGAGAGTGCTATGGGAGAGTACAAACAGTACTGCAGTCAAGGCTCTGCTCACAACATGAGATTGATTCCAATGGGTTCAGGTACTGTAGCTGGCTCAAGGTTGACTCAGTCTTCCATCTTTCCAAGGTCAGTAAAATGAATACCCACCTCACTGGGGGGGGGGGTAAGTTGTTTTTGCATAATTATGTTTTAAGCCACTCAGAGAGTGCTATGGGAGAGTACATATATTGAACAACAACAAGAGCTGTTGAAATGGAGTGAGTTATTAGAGGACTGAGTGGACTCTCTCTTGCAGGATATCCTAAGGCAGAAGCTGAAGAATCATATGCTCATGGTGACCTAGCTCTGGATGTTCTCCATGGAGGATGGGGATGGACTAGAAGATCCCATTTCAGCACTGTCATTCCAGTCTATGTATGCTCGTTCTTCAAGGGCTGTGACCTCAAATGACAGCCTGATTGTGTCAAAAACACCATCAGCCAAACACTACAGATGAGAGCTGGATATTGTCACAAAGGCACCGAAATTAGGAGCCACAGGAGGGGGGGGCAAGGGTGACCAAGAACACTGCAATTCCCTTGGAAATTGTTCTGGGGTGGATTAAGAAAAGCATACAGTGAACATGTTCTTTAAGCATACACGTTTCCCATGGCAAAAAGCATTCTTTCTGCTTTTGCTGTACGTTATGTTCCTTGAGAGTGAGATCTAGTCTGTGGGTCTGGCAGAGTTAGGAAGACTGGGCTGTCATCTTCTGCTCGTGTCTTGAGCCGGCTGGCCTTGTTTGGCGTATTCATTGTGCCCCAACCCAAGGATCTAAATTTGTTGAGAAGCGACCAGCAAATCACTCTTTTTCTGCAACTTTTACTAAGGGCCTGTCCACAGTGTCATGTAGATACGATACGTGGATCACTGACAGCACGGTTTGGATCGGGAAAAAGACTGCACATGCAGAAACATTTTTACTTTGTTTTCTGCAACTTTTACTAAGGGCCTGTCCAAAGTGTCATGTAGATACAATACGTGGATCACTGTCGGCACGGTTTGGATCGGAAAAAAGACCGCATCTGCACACATTTTTACTTTTTTGAGTAATCCTTCCCCTTTAAGAGCTGTCACACACCTTTCTGGCCCAGCAGTAGGGCATGCATTCTTTTGGCATGCTCAGTTTAGCCAGGAGATAGCAGCCTCCATCAGCTGCAAATTCTGAGGGAGAGTTTGAGGGAAAAGGTGGGGGTGGAATGAGGGAAGGGAAACAATGAAATGGAGGGAAGGAGAAAAAAAGAGCAGCACTGATGGAGGGAGAGAGGAACAAAATAAAATAAATAATTTCACTTCCCCTGACCCTCCACAGACAATCAGGGGAAGTGCTTAATTGACAGCTAATCAGGCTACAAGGGGTTGTTTGTTGCGGAGATGGGAGGAGCATGCCAAATGGCACGTTATTTTTCCCCAGGACCTCAACAGACCCTTTGTAGCCCAAAATGACCCCACACCCAAAATGACGGTCTGGACAGGCTTTAATGCTCACTAATAGATTCACCTCTAGATTTTGTTGTCCCATAAATGTGACAGGCCTGGGTCATTTTCCTCATTATAAATAGTTCTAGCTTTTGTGTCTCACGTGTTTCAAAACCATTTGGTCACACAAAGCGTTCTGCATTGCTTGCTCCCACTTTATCTCTGTTTCTCCCCGATAGGCTTCTGTGCTTGCACTTCTGTCTTACTGCACGGCCCTGCAAGTACTGGGTTCTGCAGGAACAGTTAACAGTCATATTCCTTATAAACCTTCCTACTTCTGCTTTGAGCAGGAGGGTTAGCCATTGCTGGGTTCTCCTTATGGTTAGAAAAGTTTGTCTGGAGGTGAAATCACCCCTGCTTTCATGGGGACCCAATTCTAATACCTCATGATGCCATTTTAATGTTACAGCAGCTCTATTTGTGAACAAAATGTTGGAATGTTCACCACCTTGCATGCTACTTGTTTGTGTGGCTGGAAGGGACCGTTCTGAGTTGGTGTGACTATCAGTCTATTCAGTACTAACCAACTGTTCCTTCCCTCCTCCGAATTCAAAGAGAGCCCTGCTTCTCTGCTGAGTTTTCTCTTTCTCTGTCTTTCTGTTGAAGTCAGTTGTTTGTTAGTTTGCTGTTCACTGCTGTAAGTATAGAAAGGTTTTATCTTTTCTCCTGCAAATTTCTCAGAGTGAGTTTTTGAGACCTTAAGTGCTAGTTGATGAAAAAGGGGTGGACTGTCTGGAGAACTTGAAGCAATTCTCCTCTGTGCATCTCTGTACTTCTACTGTATACCAACAGAATTTTTCCAGAAATTCAAAACTCTGCAACACAAAATACTATAGAGGACATTATACTTAATAGAAAAATCTGAAACATTTATACGAAGGAAACATACACTGTTCATTTTTTTTACAACCTCATATGTTGCTTGTGGTTTGAGTGACTTGGAGAGACATTTCTGGGCTCAGGTGACTGTCAATCTACCCAGCACCAACCAATCATTCCCCTCCACCTCTGAATTCAAAGAGAATCCTGCCTTTCTGCTGAGTGTTCTTTTCCCTGTCTTTTGTCTGTCGGTTGTTAGTTTGCTTTTGATCTCTTCCCAACTGTGAGTAATGAAACATTTTTATTCTTTCTCCTACAAATGTCTCAGAGTGAGTTGTTGAGACCTTAAGTGCCAGTTAATGAGAAAGAGGTGGCCTATCTGGGGGAAACTAGAAGCTATTCTCCTCTGTGAGTCTCTGTAGTTCTACTGTGTAGCAAAAGGAATTTAACCAGAAATTCAAAACTCTGCAACATACAGTACACACAGTCTCAGGATAGAAATACTCAATGGCCTTTTTCTTTGCTGAAAGACTCCCTGTATATTTTCCATAGAGTCATTAGATATATTCTTAATATTTTCCAATGCTTGGCTCTATTCTCTGCAGGTTTCCTTCCTCCCAGTAGCTACCTGCGTTCAATGAACAAGTGGATGTAGGTTGGGGAGGATTACCAGGGAAAAACAATGAACAGAAAAGAGTTCAGGCATTGGCAATCACTGGAAAGTCCTGATCCAGATGTCTTTTCAGTACAGAACTGAGGTGCTGGGGCATTTGACTGCATGTAATGTCTACTTTGCCCCCAGGATTGCCCTGGTGTACTCTTCCTCATAGACCACAACACACTTGAGAAGTGGCGTTTTTGCTCAGTGCTTCTAAAGCATCGTTAGCCCTAATTGTTCAACCTCTTGTTGGTTTTCCTTTGGGATCCTCTACAACTACCCATCCCAATTCCCAACAGTCATCCATCCAGCCTTCCTGTATTGTTCTCCTTTGAAAATGCTCTTTCGTCAGCCCTCCTTGTGACCATCTGTGGTCTCAGCATCTCAATCCGTCTTTGTTCCTGGTTCTCCAGGTGGTCATGAGAGAAGCAGGTGGGAGCTATCAAAATGTGTCGTTGTCCGTCTCTGTCCCCATCACACACCCCCAGAGTTTCTAGAGATGGAGATGCATCCAAGGACACGATCTTGGAATCTGCCCACTGGGGCAAATGACACAATATTGGTTCCCGGACGACCCATCCGGCTGTTGCACATAGGTTAATAGTGTCCTTGGAGAACCCCAGGAAGTCGGAAGTTGGATGTGATGCTCCAAAGTACTCTTAGAAAAGAGAACAGTACCATGTAGCCTGACAACATTTACAGCAATGTACGGCTAGGGCACTGTTGTCTCTAAGAGCTCACGGTACTATTGGGTGAAGGCAAACCTAAAGGGCTCCCTATCGCATTGGTGAAGGCGATGAGAGCATTGGATCCCGAGTTCTTGTTGACGCTGATTATGTCCCCACTGGTTTGCTCAGGTTCAGACTTCCTGAAGATGTTTTTCATGGTCGACTGGAAGTTATTGGTCACAAAGCAGTAGACAATGGGGTCCATGCAACTGTTGAGGCTGCTTAAAGTGACGGTGACGTGGTAAACAATCAAGCTGACGTTGTAGGGCATGTCCGGGTTGATGGAGATGGCCAGCTGGCGCACGTGAAAGGGAGTGAAGCAAACCATGAAGATGATGAGGACGGTGATCAGGAGCTGCACCGCCCGCATCCGCCGCTCACGGCTCTGTTGCATGAGGGTCGGCTTGGAGAGGGCGCACATGATCCTGGTGGTGAAGAAGGTGATGATGATGAGAGGGAAGAAATACTCGCAGACCATCAGGGGCAAGATCTGGGCGATGCAGCAGTAGGAGAACTTCATGGCCATGATGAGGATGGAGAAAGTGACCACGGTCGCAAAGACCCAGATGAAAGCACAGATGCTTTTGGCGTAGTTGGGGTTCCTCCACCGGCGCGAGGCTTCCACCTGGACAATGGCGAGGTACCGGTCGATGCAGATGCACGTGAGGAACAAGATGCTACAATACATGTTGACGAAGTAGGTGAAGATGTGAATGAGGACACAGTTCTCACAGTTCCGGTCACTATAATGCACAATGATCCGGATGGGCAAGGAGAAGCCAACCAGCAGATCGGTGACAATGAGGTTGATGGTGTAGATGACCGAGGTGGTCTTGGTTTTGGTGCGGAAGCAGAAGACGTAGAGAGCCAAAGAGTTCAACACCACACCCACCAGGAAAATGATGACGTTGACCACCATCAGGACTACCCACAGAGTGTAAAAGGCGTCCGACAGTTCTCCATCCAGGTGGACGAATTTGTGAAACAGGAGGTCAGTGTCATTGGACGGCCCTGTGGAATTCCTGGAGCCTTCCATGGTCACACCCTTTCGCCAGCACCTAGGAGACAGAAGGAGAGAAGGGGATTCAGTGTTTCACATGGCACAGGATGGCAGCATCGGTGACATGCATCAAGCCCCATTGGTCATTTTGGAAGACGAAGATGATCAGGAGAGGGTCACCTCTCTGTCCCTGTGCCTATTTCCAGATATATCAGACAGCTCAGCAGAAGAGAAGCACACACAGCACAATGATCTCTCTCTAAAATGATATATAATTAATCCCTACTTCTAAGAGATTAATCATAGAATCGTAGAATAAGGGACTTGGAGGAGGCTTATAAGGCCATCAAATCCAACCCCCTGCCTAAGGCAGGAATCCAAATCAAAGCAAATCTGACAGAGGGTTGTCCAATTTTTCTTTTGAATGCCTCCAGCGTTGGAGTGCTTACTGCCTCCCAAGGTAATTGGTTCCATTGTTGTACTGCTCTAACTGTTCAGAAGTTTTTCTTGGTATTCAGCCAACATCTGGCTTCCTGTAGCTTGAACCTGTTATTACGTGTCCTGCACTCTGGGATGATCAAGGACAGATCCTGCCCCTCCTCTGTATGACTACCTTTCGAGTCTTTGAAAATTGCTGTCCTATTCCCCATCTGTTTTCTTTTCTCAAGGCTAAACATGCCCAGTTCTTTCAGTCTTTCCTCCTAGGGCTTGGTTACCGGTACCCTGATCATTGTTGTTGCCCACCTTCTGAACTTGCTCCAGTTTGCTGGCAGCCTTCTAAAAGTGTAAGCCTCTGTGCTGAAAGGTTAGAAGACCTACAGTTGTAAGATCGAATCCACGTGACGGAGTGAGCCCCCATTGCTTGTCCCAGCTCCCGCCAACCTAGACATTTGAAAGCATGTAAAATGCAAAAATGCGAGTAGATAAATAGGTACCACCTCGGCGGGAAGGTAAATGGTATTCCGTGTCTAGTCATGCTGGCCACGTGACCACGGAGGATTGTCTGCAGGCAAACACTAGCTCAGTGGGTTGGAAACAAAGATGAACACCACCCCCTAGAGTTGGACACGACTGGACAAATTATCAAGGGGAACCTTTACCTTTACCTTACTTTGGATGAGGTCTAACCAGTGCCGAATACAGGGGACTAGTACTTCATGAGATTTCTGGAGACAGTACTTCTGTTAAGAAGGATCAGGAACGTTAGATGCTAGATTCCAAACAGACTGCATTATTTCAAGAGTCCCAAGTTATAAGCGTTAAGGATAAGATCTCTCTCGCAGTATTTACATGCACCGAGAGTAGAAATGAAGCTGGACTTTTGGGGAAGATTGGGGAGGGAGAGAGGGAGGGAGAGAGAGAGAAAGAAAGAGAAGCTACTGGAGGACAGTCAGCGGAGGGAGGGAGGGAGGGTGGAAGAGAGAGAGAAAGATAGAGAAGCTACTGGAGGACAGTCTATAAAGAGAATTAACAAACAAGTGTAATTCCAATAAACAGTCTGGGTTGATGTTTTGGCTTTCTCAGTCTCTTAATCCCAAATCACAGCAGCCGAGCGGACTTTTATTGCTCCTTCACCGCTCTTACGGTTTGAAGGAAAAAGCTCCCCCCCCACCTCGGGCCCCAGTTTGATTTTGCAAACCCTCGCTCTGTGTTTAAAATTTCTTCTTGTGATTTATCATTGTATTTATAAAGGAAGGGTTAAACCTTTTTTTCTTCCTCTCTTTCTCTCTCTTTTTGTAAATGGTTCGCTTTGTGCTTTGGCCGGTTCCTGCCGAGCTGTGGCTCAGATTGGCCAAATATGGTATTTTTCACATTTCTGGAAAGCAAGGAGACCGGCTAGGCTGGTGCTAAACGGGCGCTGCGGGAGTGCCCTGCGTAGGCCAAAAAGGCATGGAAAGAAAGGCTTGTGGTAGAGAAAAATGGGCAGGACTCTCCATTCAGAGCTATTTTGCAGAACAATTGGCTGCGTGTGCTGCTTGTTACCTCCCCGGTTGGGAGACTCACACAGGCAGTGTTGCGGCGTGCTTGTGGGTTCTTCCTATAGCGTTTTGTCTCTCTCTGGACAGAAGAACTGGACCAGACAGGCCTAAATCTAATGAGATGCCCAGGGTAGCATTGCACTTCCAGGCACCTTCTCCCGTATACCTCTCCAGCAGGATTTCTAGCCCCCTGTAGTAGCTTTTTTGAGGTTGCTGGTTGCAAGAGGAAACCACTCACTTTTAAACTTCCATTCACAGACATTGATTCTACCAGTGCAATATACACATTGGATGCTGGCCTTGGTTTCACCCAGCACAGCTTTCCTTAGGGGGGGGGGCAAGCCAGAGGATACAGTTAACATGTCATTAACAGCGAAGCTCCTTTAATAAATAAAAGACATCTGTTTGTCCTAGCATAAGCTTTACTTGCTCTGCATATTGCAGATTAGCTTGCCTTTTGCTTCCTGCTAGGTCAGTTGAAGGGAAACACAGGCTTCATTTGCTCAGGCACCTTGGGGGAAAACATTATAATAGCAAGAAATATGCACTTCCTTAACCTGTAATTTGGCCATCAGAAACCATCACAAGCTTGGCTCCAAAGTGAAGGGACACACTAAGCTGGCTATGCTCTCCAAAACCTGGGATCAAACTATCACAAGCTTCATTTTAACCATACTGACAAAGTGTCTCCATGATATTCTGATAAGCAAGCTCCCTAGGGATGGACTGGATAGATCAAGTGTCTGGTGGACACACAGTTGGCTACAGGATCGTACTCAGAGGGTGATGATTAATGGCTCCTTCTCCAACCGGGAGGAGGTCACAAGTGGGGTACCCCAGGTCTCAGTCCTGGGTCCGGTGCTCTTCAACATTTTTATTGATGACTTGGATCAGAGGGTGCAGGAAATTCCAACGACACAACATTGGGTGGACTAGCTAATATCCTGGAAGACAGGAACAAAATTCAAAATGATCTAGATAGGCTTGAGTACTGGGTTGAAAACAACAGAATGAATTTCAGCACGGAGAAGTGCAAAGCGCTGCACCTTAGAAAAGGAAACCAAACACACAGTTACAAGATGGGGAATACTTGGCTCAGCAATACTACGAGTGAGAAGGATCTTGGAATTGTAGATCTCAAGCTAAATATGAGCCAAGAGTGTGATGTGGCGACGAAAAAGGCAAATGCTATTTTAGGCTACATTAACAGAAGGATAGTCTCTAAATCCTGTGGGGTACTAGTTCTCCTCTATTTGGCACTGGTTAGGCTTCATCTTGAATATTGTGTCCAGTTCTGGACACCACAATTCAAGAAGGATGCTGACAAATTGGAACAAGTCCAGAGGAGGGCAGCAAGGATGATCAAGAGGTTGGAAACCAACCAATATGAGGAAAGATGGAAAGAACTAGCATAGTCTTGAGAAAGGAAGGCTGAGTGGAGATGTGATAGCACTTTTCAAATACTTGAAGGCTGTCCTACAGAGGAGGGGCAGGATCCTTTCTCAATCATCCCAGAGTAAAGGACACATAATACTGGGCTCAAGTTACAGGAAGCCAGATTTTCGCTGAATATCAGGAACGACTTCTCAACTGTTAGAACAGTACAGCAATGGAATCAATTATCTTGAGAGGTGGTGAGCCCTCCAACACCCGGAGGCCTTCAAGAGAAATTTCGACAACCATCTGCCAGATCTGCTTTGATTTGTATTCCTGTCTCGAGCAGGGGGGGTTTGCACTTGATGGCCTTATAGGCCCTTCCCAACTTTATGAGTCTGATATTTGCAGCCCTTGCTCTCTAACACATCATTTGAATAAGGGATTCTTTAAGTGCTGAAAATATCTGACTGTCACAGCAGGAGCTTTTCATATCTTTGATTCCTAAATTAGCTTCCTTTCTTTTGTGATTTGATGTCAAGACCAAAAGGTAAGCACTGGGTTTGCTTGTAAGTATAATCATGCAGTCATGTCTCCAGAACACTAATATATTTCAGTGTCTAATGATGGAATACCTATAATGCAGAGTATGACTTGCTACCCAAATCCTCTGCATATAAATATGTGCTTTGTTGCTGCTGGGCTGGCTTCAGGCTTGTGGAATCTACAGTACTTGATTTTCCTTATAATCCTAGGGCTTGCTATGCAAAGCTGGACATAACACTGCAGCAGAAAGTGTTTTTGTGCCCATAGCAAGCTGAGGAATAAAAGTTGAGAAAAGGTACAGTTCTGCAATTCAGGTGTTCAATCCTACAGTTCAAGTGATCCACTGGGATTCACAGCTGCAGGAATTCCACAGGTGAAATCGCTGTAGCTGTCCAGCTGACATTTTTCAAGAGTCAACAGGGGCAGAGGCATAGAACCTGATTTGCACAGAGTTCAACAGCAGGAGCTGCTTTAATGTGCTAACAAGATGCTAATTGGCAACTTCTTCCTCTCTCTCTCTTTTTACTGTTCTCCTAAGTGCCGTAGCAATACTGCGTTCAGGCAGTAAGTTGAAACTTCCTCTTTTTAAAAGAACTGCTTTGGAGCCAAGGGACACTCAGTTGAGGGGAACTGACACCCCCACGAACACCTCTTTGCATTGCATCAGGCAATCACAGTGGGCAAAAAGTGGACAAAATTGATATCAACTTGATTGGAACAAGACTTGTAAAGGAGGGATGGACACACACACACACACACACACACGGACTGGAGAAGGAGAAAGTTCACGGAAGGCACACCAGTGAGTGGCAAACCCCACAGACACAGTTTACACTGACAGAGGCATTCACACACTTTATTCAAAATAAAGTGATTTAACATCCAAATCAAAATAGACAACCCTCACGTGGAAGAGAAAAATACTTCGCTTCTGATCTAAATAGCACAATTCCCTGTCATAACAACCCACAGTTCCTTGTGCATTGTGTAGTCATCTTTTAAAAAAAATCTATTTAAAATATGTTGAACCTGATTCAGACATGGACTTATCCACAGGTGTAACCCACACGCTTAGCTGGGTAGAATCAGATCCTCACTCATCACTTTATGTCTCCAAGTGCACACTTAAGAACTAGTAAAAACATTTTATTAGTAAGGT